CAAGTGCTTGGAATTAGATTGGCAGAAACAAAAAGAAAAAACCTCAAAAACAACAACAACACCAAAAAAAAAAAAGTCCAGAAAAGGCCCAATGAGGATCTGAAGGCTAATGTACAACACAGAGGTCACACAATCTTATCCCAACCAGACTGGACCAGAATGGGGAAACCTTCTCCCATCGAGGGAAGCCCACAGTAGTGCTATCCCCACCTGTTCCATTCTCTTCCAACTTACCAGTGACCTTCTGGAAGAAATAAACATTTTTTTCAGATCATAGGGGATTATTATCATGAAAATCCTATGCCTGACTCCTTGAATTACACTGCATTAATCAAGCAAGTTATTCAAAACTTCTTCAGTTAGTTAGTTATACCCAGACACTACTAAATCAGACTAAAAGGTACTACAAATCAGGTTGTATTAAAAAAATTAGTTAAATGACACTGGAAAAATTAGTAATTTTTTAACMAGTGAATCAGAGAGCAAACAGTTGTATGCCTAGTCTTCCGAAAAAAAAAAAAGTGACCATTTGTGAGTGGGTGGAAATGGAGTGCTGAAAAAAATGAGTCAAAATCTTTCAACTTTGATTTTATAAATGGTTAATACACAGTAGTGATTATCCTTGAAAGATAAATCCAGTTGGTTCTCTCTCACAGCAGGATCTTACTTACAAGTACCACTCCACATGGTGAGAACCAGCTAGAGCCAGCAGCAATCTTTATGCTTTCAAGGTTTTACAGACTGTGTGCAGGGGTCAGGAGCTGTACACTGTCACAAAAGACAGTGTACAGATTTCTAATCATCGGCTCCAGCAACACTGTCTGGGGGTGGATTTTCTTTTCTAATTTGCAAGCYGAAAGAGGTCAAGCAAACATTTTTCCAATGGAGATTTAAAGTTTGTGCACTGAACTCAAGCCTGCTGACCACTAACTTACAAAGGGAACAAAACAAAACCACCCTGAAGCATTCAGCAACAGCCACTACTCAAACTTCTGYACTTTAAATGAATGTCACTGACTCACTATTTACCCAGATTATCAAGTTACACTTTTCACAGGAAGGGAAGGGCATTTTTACCACAACACATTCAGCAGCTTCACTCTCATCCTGCTCAAGAATAACCATTTGAGAGTCAATTCTATCTCAGATCTTCCTTTTCTAACACATTTTAAACCAGAAGTAACAGATCAAAAGACTATGAAAACRTTACAAATGTGCTATCTGTCCAAGGAAAGGGCTATTGTTACCACTTGTCACTAATTATGTTTCAGCTCAAGACATTTCTTTCAAACAAGAATTTAATTTTCTAATTTACAATAAGCTAATAACCAAACACCCTCAATGCCCATTATCTGATAAAAGGGAATTCCCAAACAGGTATGTGGTGAAACARATGCTAGAGGTTTAAGGTAGGTAACCAACCATGAAAGCTGACAACCCAAAAATAACTTGATAAAATATTCTCAAATCCTTGGACATGTTTCTTGACATGCTGCCTGGGAGTACTTTTACAAAAAGGGTAGTTCCACCTGCAAATGCTGTGGAACATATATGCATCCAGCTGAACATAAAAGGAAACAAATAAACTTACACATCTGAATTATCTAAAGAGTTAGTCAGACTGTTCATGTATTTTCATGAATACATTTTGTTGCCGATATTTTTCCCATACAACATGAACTAGCTTTTTATAATCACAATTAATAGGACACCCRCTTATCTTAAACCTAGATTAGGAAACAGAGTACAGTAAATTTAGATATGTGATGAGAAACCCACTAAATTGCTACCATTTCCCCACCACTGCAAAACCATGGTTTTGGTCAAACCTATGATTTGACTGTAACACATGCAGACATCCCACTAGGGAAAAAAAATTCAACATTACAAATAGTTCTTTAAGAGCAATGTTACTGTTAAGATGCAAGATAAAAGGCCATTCAAAAATAGTCAATTCAAGAGTAAGATTTTCTAAAATCCTGATCAACTCCTTCTATCTTCAAGCTGAGAAGGGAATTCAATAAAGTGAAGCAAGGCAAACATCCTGGGTGCAGGTGATAAACACAGTGCTTCACCTTGTACCCAACAGCCGAAATAAAATTTCTGAAGAGATGGAGATCTTTTCCAAGCAACGGCGGGAAAGCCTCTGGAGGCATGAACTTGTGAAAAGCCATCAGTCCCCCGAGCAGGGGTAAGGCCTCCAGAGCTCTGCCCACGGGGAAGGAAAGCAGGGAGCAGGCTGCCGCAGGCTGGCTCGGAACGGGGAGGAGGATGGTGACCAGCCTCAGGTCACCGCCCGGGCTGGGAGAGACCTGGGAAGGCCAGCTAGTCCGACCCTTGCTGGGAAAGGTAGGCGGGAGGAGGCATCTCAAACCTACATTGATTTCCAACGTTATCAATTCTACCTCCGCAGCGAATATTCCAAGATG